TCTCACATCTATTTCACAGTACGTATATAACATTTCTTCAGTAGAGTTGCCCCCCCCCCTGAACTTCACTTTTTTATAAGTATGACCCTTATGGCAATCCTATAATGAGATGCCAAGGCTAAAAAGCGAGCACTCACAAGGGGGTGTCGCGTGTTGTCGTCTTGTCACACCGCGGGGGGGGGGGGGGCATAGGCAGGGGTAAGGGGGGGGGGGGCGACACACTTCTTGCTATTGGCCATAAACTCTCCGCCTTGTCTGCTTTCCTCAAGAGCCTCTCCCACGGCCGCCCGTCTCGCCTCATCCTTCGGGATTTCACAGAAGCGGCGCGCGCAATTTCCCCTTTAAAATAAGCCATCGCCGGCGCGCGTTCCCCCCTGATTTATCGTCGTTTTATTAGCTTTACGATCGTGATCACCATTCGCCGCGTCCCCCTCCGACCGCCGCGCGTAAATCAAGCCGCCGATTTCTCCTGCGAGCGGAGTTATTGCCCGCGCCATATACGCTCGTCGCCGGTGAAAAACAAATGGAAACGTCAAATAATGAACAAGGAGGCAAAGGTTGATTGTTATTCGTCTCCCGCTGCGAGGTGTGAAGGCGGGGCCGGCCGGGTTGTGTTCGCGGCCGCCAGGGGGCCGATCATGACATCACCTGTGCACGCGGCGTGACTGAAGCGAAGCGAGCCTCATGCACAGCCGTGGCCTCTCGCGGATTTCTGCCTTCGAAGAACGAGAACAAGAGTGTCCTCTGAGGCGCAAACGCGACCTTCAAGAGGAAAGCGGGAAGAGAGAGACAGGGAGAAGGAGGAAGGAGGAAAATTACCATACGAGGCTCCGAGGCGTCCCTCGTGGTAGCCCCTCGCGGTGTGATGTCTCCGGGTGACCAATTTTCCGCCGACATTTGTCACGCCCAACGACAGGCTGGATTGAAATGTAAATAGCTGCGAGGCGAGCGGGCGGCGCGCACGCGAAAGCCCGACGCGTCAACTCCACTTCCCCCTCCGTACGCCCGGGAGTACTCGGCGTCCATTCACAAAAACGCCGTAAATAACTCCGGCTCCGAGAATTCCGCCGAACGGATTTACGAGCGCCGCGTGATGGACGCACGGCGGATAAGCGAGCGAACGGACAACGAGTGTGCATAAAATAATCACTAAAGAGAAAACACGCGATTATACGAACACACCTTAACCGAAATTTACACCTTTATTTTACCTCCACGTTTTTTTTTTCTCTCTTTTTTCACAACCGCAAACTTCCCTCCTCCTTCAAAGGTCAGTGAATAAATTATTCCTTTATTCACACATCTCCTTCTTCCTCTCCTCCTTAACTTTGTCCTTTGTTTACACTCCCAAATGAGAAGCAAATACGGCGAGAGGCGAATCCAAACAGCCGGTGACTTCAACGCTGAGGAGATAACGATCAGGCCAGAGATAACCAATTATGAGGATAATCAATCTTTTCCGTCTTCTAATATCTGTTTAATCGATCTGTTTATCTGCCTAATCTATTTGGCAATCTGTCTGTCGATTTGTTTGTCTATTTGCCTATCTCCTCATCCAGCTGTCTACTTATTAGTATATATAACAATCTATTCATATTTACATACATACCTACATCCGTTTATGTATATGTATATGCATATGTGTGTGTGTGTGTGTGTGTGTGTGTGTGTGTGTGTGTGTGTGTGTGTGTGTGTGTGTGTGTGTGTGTGTGTGTGTGTGTGTGTGTGTGTGTGGTGTGTGTGTTGTATATATATATATATATATATATAATATATATATATATATATATATATATATATGTATGATATATATATGTATACATATACACATAAATATATACAAATATACATATATATACATACATATAAATACATATATACATACATAAATACATATATATATATATATATATATATATATATAATATAATATACACACACACACATACATACGTATACATATGCATACACACTGTGTGTGTGTGTGTTATATGATTCTAAAGCAATACATACAAGACGAGTATAGAAAGAAATTGTAAATAAATAACGAAATTATAACTACTATAATGCGTATGAATGGGCATATTTGCACATGTGTGAATTGTGTGTGTGTGTGTGTGTGTGTGTGTGTGTGTGTGTGTGTGTGTGTGTGTGTGTGTGTGTGTGTGTGTGTGTGTGTGTGTGTGTGTGTGTGTGTGTGTGTGTGTGTGTTGTGTGCCCCGACCCTTCAAGCCACAAAGACCAGCCACGCCCCACGACCCCCCACCTCCCCCCCCATCCAACCACACAGCCCTGTCTTTCCCCCCTCCGCCCCCCCTTCCCCCTCCCGCGACCTCCTCCACCTCGGACAAGTCGGCGTCAAGTTGTGAGCAGACAAATGGCTTTCTAAATAACCATTACACGCGTCCTATAGATATAACTCACGCACGAAATTAACATAGACGAAAGGGAATAATGCAAAAGTTGCCATTAAGCATTCCTATCACGTGACGGGACCTCTACCCCCCCCTCCCCTCCAGCCTCCACCCTCTTCCCTCACGGCTTAAACCCCCTCACCCCCCCCCCACGGCGTCGCTCGTGAAGTTCAATTTCTTATTGGGACTTCATTTTATTTCTATTCTCATTTATTCAATTCATTTATTGACTATTTATCTTATCTATCCTTAGTCGCAACATCCATCAACATTCGAAAACAACATACACACATCCAAAAAAATCATAAAAAAAAAACATCTCTCTCTACACATTTTAAACATTTTCACTTCACATAAATCTCCTTAGACACAGACACACGCACGCACACCCAGGCACACGCATAATCACATGCAAGCACTCACACCGGGCGGAGCAATAACTCACAACATCAGGAGGAGTTTAAACGCTGGACAACCTTATAGGGTTTTGTGTGAAGTACATTTATGCTCCGATCTATAGGCCTAACACGAACAGGCCTACTCCTAGGACCATATGGCTGGGATATAACCCTTTGTGGCGCGGTGCTAAAGGGAGTTGCAGCAGTTGGGGTGGGAGTGGAAGTAGGTGGAGTAGTTGTTGTTATAGTGATAGATGTGGTGGTGGTGGTGGTAGTAGTAGTAGTAGTAGTAGTAGTAGTAGTAGTAGTAGTAGTAGTAGTAGTAGTAGTAGTTAGTAGTTAGTAGTAGTAGTAAGTAGTAGTAGTAGTAGTGTAGTGTAGTAGTAATAGTAGTTAGTAATCGTAGTAGTAGTGGTGGTAGTAGTGGTAGTGGTAGTAGCAGTGGCGGTGGTGGTGGTAGTAGTACTTATAAAAGTAGTAGTAATAGCAGTAGTGGTAGTAGAAGTAGAAGAATTAGCATAAGTAGCAGTAGCAATATTTGTAGTAGTAATAGTGGTTATAGTAGTAGTAGTATTGGTGGTGGTAGAAATAGTAGCAGCAGCAGTAATAGTAGTAGAAATAGATGTAACAGTAGTGCAAATAGTAGTACTAGTAGTAAAAGTTCATGTAGAAGCAAAAATAGAAGTAGTTGTTGTTGGTAATAGTTGTTATAGTAAGAATAAAAGTTGTAGTAATAGGAGGAGGCGGGTTAACTGTTATAAGAATAGTAGAAAGTGTAGTGATAGTGCTATTACTACAAATGCATGTGTTCATATGAATAGCTGTATCTGTGGTCCTAGCATTAACTCTTGTCTTTTCTAACAGACAACGTACTCGCGGCATTAGTGATCAACATCAAAAGTATCAAATAAATCATATCTTTGGTTGGAAATTCTTTATTATTAACGACAACGCAAAACAAACACCATTCAATCATACAAACAGACTTATTCTCTCCAAAATTCCAACAAAACTACCAGTAATCGTAGCAGAAGCACCAACGAGCGGCGCCCCTGACAAACGAGGCGTCTACGGCCATTATTTACAGCGGTGGTGCAGCAGTAGAAGTAGACAGCGGCAGAACAGTAGAAGAATAACATCTACCGTAATCCCAAGCGTGGCGCATGACTGATGAACGATAATTACACGGTACCTCACGACCTTCCTGACCTTTTCTGGCTTTCTGACCCTCGCACACACGAACGCCGAAATGCACACGGTGTCTGTCTGTCTGCGAACAAGACTAACAGATACGGGCCTTGTATCCGAGTGGCCTCCGCGCGAGGTACAAGCCCGGTAGAAAGCGAGAGAGAGAGATTTCGAAACATATTCCAGTAAAAACCTTGATGAGCAAATTTAAGTGTTAGATAAAAATAAACAGATAAAAGAATGTTAAAATACCAAATTAAGATTAAAAAATACAATTAAAAACAAAAAACACAAAATAACACTATCAGAGCAGCAAATATATCTTCCACACCCCTACTTCCTGAAGAGCAAAGCTTAAAAAAAACGACCAAGCCACAGACTGAGAGAGATTCATCCCTTCCCACACCCCGAGGCTTCCATCGGTATACGAGAGATATTTATCGGAAATTAAAGATCAGCTGAACACGATAAGGGGCCTAGATAGCGTGATGAACGAGCTCTATACATCAAGCGTATATCTCGCGCTCTACTGGGCCTATCTGATGAGGAAAACGACCTTACGACATCTTTATCCCCGACAGCGGAAGTGGTTGGACGGCTGGACACTTCGACTTGTGCTTATGTTTAGTTTTATTTACTCTTCCTCTACAATCAAATGTTTAGCAATGGTAGTAATGATGTGTAGTAATATTTGCAACAGTAGTAGTCGCGTGTAGAGGGTTGGTAAGGGTCAATGACTTGATTCTAGATCTGTAAAGTGTAAAATTGGCCTACGGTGTGTTTTAGGTTTCATGCTCAAAATTGTGCTTTTCTCTTGTATGGAATCTGCGACAGTCTTACTGATCGTGTGTATCAGAGGTATACATAAGCCTAACAATCGACACCAAACCAACTTCAAAGCAGGGAATCACAGCTGATCCGTCCCGTATTGAATATCACGACCCAAACGCGAAGTCGAGATAAAATAAACCTGATAAATTGACAAAGCGGATCTCCTTACTTGGGGCTGGTCCCTGGTGGGCTGGGTCTTGAGGGCAGGGGCTGATCCGCCGCCCAAGTCCCTCACAGGGGTCTTGCCCAGCTGCTGTTGTTGCTGCTGCTGTTGCTGGGTGCGTCAGGTCTCTGGTGCTGCCGCCCTGAGGGGAAGGTTGCTGCTGTTGCTGCTGCTGTTGCTGTTGAGCACGGAGCATGGCACCGGCGTCAGCGCTGAGACGGTGCGCATCTCCTGGTCTGCGGGGCGAGAGAAAGGCAGGTGGTTAATGCACAGGTCACAACAAAACAAAAAGAAGCAAACAAAACAGAAAACAGGTTAGTGGACCAAGGGAATGC